GAATATCAAGTAACCGACCAGGTGCACATCTCAATTTTCACAAATCAAGAACACACATTATGTACATAGCACCTAAGCAAGTTAATGCACATGTGGGATAAGTTAATAATGCTCCCTATCCCAGCTCCACTGCTGATTTATTTTTCTGTACATCTTAAGTGCCGGCTGTCGAATAAAATTCATTGAGAGAAGTTTACTTTGCATGTTCATTACTGTACACATCCCCACAAGTATAGGCCTACATGTAATTACGCATTTTGCCAGTGTCAAATAAAGTCAAATAAAAGATTTTTTTCGTGTACATGCATTTCAAAGTACCTGCACATTAATTGTGAATTCGGGAAGCGTACATTTAAAGGAAGGTAATGAGTAAACCCTGTTTTTCATTCTGTTCATAAACTATAAGTACAACTGTACATGGCCTAAAGGTGCCTTTCGACTCTAAATACTGAATGTCAGTTGCAAAGTATTCACTCAAATTGAATGGGAGTACCGTGTTAACAGATTTGGAGACTGATACAGAATGGACCAAGAAACAGTGTTCATGGAAAGACGGCCTTTTTCTGGATGGGTGCGCATCAGTGTTGCTCTTATACATGCTGACAAGACCTAGTGGATCAAGATGAAAATGCAAGATACGGGTACTGTGACCAAGACCAAGGAAATGTGGATTCCAGACCATGACTGAGGCTGGTCACAAGGTGTCTCCAGACCATGACTGAGACTGGTCACAAGGTGTTTCCAGACCATGACTGAGACTGGTCACAAGGTGTTTCCAGACCATGACTGAGACTGGTCACAAGGTGTTTCAAAATGTAGTTCTGGGGATACCGAGAACTCTACGCATATTGATGCATAGGCCTATAGCATACACATCAGCACTGCAGCTGGAAAGTTTAATGACTCTTAGAGGATTTACATGTACAATGTAGGCCTACATTAGATCTGCTCTATTCAGATCTTCAGTGCTGAAGACCTTTTGTGCAGTGCCAGTATAGTTTTCCTTCTTACAGCGTTTCAGAATTAATATTTAGCACAATTTGTGGATGTTGCCATTAGTGAATCCTGGAGCTGTTAACTACGGGTGAGTTTGCCATGGGTTCCAGCTTGAACCTATATGTACATGTACATGTACCGTTCATGTACACTGTACTTCATCCAAGAGAACAATCTACCACCCTCCAAAATGACTATAATTCCATCTGCAGAACTGCATTTCACGAGTTCGGCAGGCAAGTGACTAACCTGTGCTTCCGACTCGCAAAGCACTGCCAACTTTTTAAAGTTTATGGCCAATTTGACTAGCATTGGGCAAACTTGAGCGCTGTAAGGCACTTATCAATCACCGCATGAGGTACGTCCACATGTGCCGTGAGGTGAAACTAAAAGCTTTTACAGTTGCTTTCATTCAAAACCTGACGAAACAGACTCACTTGGGCCACGCTTGGCTGTCGAAAATGACATCAAGAGCAGATGGAGGGTCCAGCGCTAAGTACGGGGATACTGTTGCTGATCACAACAGGATGGTTTAGATTACTGTCAACTCCAGTGTTCCGCCATTCCCGTGACAGCTTCTTGCTCTAGTTGACTGTAATAAATTTCTCCAAATTTTAATTGGCAGAAGGCACAATACTCGTATCGATTTCTGTCTTTTTCAGTGACACGTTCCACTTTAAAATTCTAAAATTTCCAGTCTTTGTTCTCTGTTGCAGGAATAGGCTACTTCTTCATTGCTGACATTCCTATTACTTTTCCAGAGCAGAGGTGGATCATGTACATTGTCCACTTGTGAGGGATCTACAATGTACACGTACGCACAGGTACATGTATACAGGTACAGGTTTGGAACTGCACATGCAAATACATGTACATGTATGTGGATTTTTTTTCTTAATTGTGGCAAGGAAGAGAGAATTAACAACCAAAATTGAGAATCCCTTTGATTGAAAACAAGTGAAAAAGAGAGGCAAAAAATATGTACCACAGGCCTAATGGACAAACGAGGGGAGTCCATAGCAAAACTTGTTTTGTTGCATTGAAGTGATTTCCATTGCTCCTGAACAACTGCTCTCTTGTCTTATCTGATGCTGTGACTACATATAAATTACTTTCAACTTCTACAAATCAACAACCAGCCCCAATCAAGTCTACAGATCCATTAGCTATATTCTCTTCCTCCATTATCCCAGATCTCTGCCCCCTTTGACATATCAAAATGGAAAAAGTAGTTTAAAGCAGGGTAAGGAAGGTATTCACATATGAATACCCCCCCTTTAAACTACTGTACTACTTTTTTAAAATAAATTTCCAGTTCAAATTTCTTTAAAAATGCAAACAGATGTAAAAAGGAGTTTTTTTTTGCTGTAGAGTGTTCTAAATTTAGAAGTCTGACTCATACATGGTGAAGTTGAAGGAAGTAGTGAAACCATTGTCAGGGTTATAAAAATCCCCCGCTGCCTCAATCACAGTTGTGTTTTGTGTCACCTACAAAGAATGCCAGCAGCCCGCTGGGGAATCATGGTGGGGTTTGGGGAAAGGGTGTTTGGTCCCGAGAGGAGTGATACATGGGCCGACAATTACGCCCATTATATCTCCTGGAATGATTTCAGTAAGTTGTGGGACTGGACCTAAGTTCACACCAGTGTGAACTTTCCATAAATCACGGACTGGTGGTGAGCTTGACAATTTGACAAGTTGGGGGGGGGGTTGGTAGGGATTGAGCTGACTCACAAAGATGCAACCTTTGACTGTGTGACAAGATGAGCATTAAGCACACTTCTCGTTTTTCTTTGAAGTCCACTCCATTGTGCTTCAGCACACTTTGCATGGGTCCACATTAACTTCAGGCAAAGAGCTGACTTTGAAATAGTCACAAATGAAGTCTGCGGTGACGCCACCGATCTGAATGGGCACAATGCACATTCAGTCTCATCTTCAGAGAAAAATCAACATTTGAAATTGTGGTTGAAACTCGAGAAGCATTGGCAAGTCCCAATAAGTAGGTAATAAGTCAGTACACTCAACAAAAGGTTGGATGCATCAATACATGTTCCAGATTTAGTGCCAGTTATCAAGTATCAAACTAATGGCATTTTCAAACTATGTCTGAAACCTGGTAGGTTAGTTTAATTCAGGTTGAAGTGTAATTGGCAAAAGCTAAATCAAATCCGACTATTAAGTTACTCGGTAGAAAGCCTTAATAAGCCTTTTGCAAGTTAAATTTGAATAAAATCTGGTACACTTAGTGGTCTGACTGCAAATGAACTTAACAATTTGAATTTCCCAGACTAAAGACCCTGTTGCTATCAATCACAATTCGGGGCAAGCTTTTGCATAGTGAGCACCATCTCTGGAATGGACTGTTTCCGTTTTGCCCTTCTTATCCATTGAAAACAGTGTATTGATGCAAGGCGTCTCTCATGTAACTAAGCAAAAGCTTGCCCCAAATCACAAAGTATGTCAACAGTGTCTATAGTATGGAGAATTCAAACTGTTGTGTTTATGTAAAGTTAAAGAACTCAGTGTACAAGAATTTATTTAAATTCAACTCACAAAAGGCTTATTCCTTGGCAGTTTCTCCAAGAAACTTAACTGAGCACTGGACAAAAATCCTTCATTGTGCAGGAAACGAAAGGTACATGTATATTCTCTGTGCTTAACCTTCCAAACACGCTAAAGTGATGATGCATGTAAGTGTGCAGTGGATGGGGCTTTACCTTCCTCAGTCCTACTAAGTCTTTCCAGACAACTTGTGGATTTTGGAAGACCTGAAAAGGTTCAGATTATGACAAAAATGTCTGAATCCTTTCAAAAATGGCCCATTATTTGTTCAATACCATGGGCCTTGCCCCTTGTTAACACAAGTCCAAATCAACAAACAATCAACAAAATCCTATACACATGATGGGTGGCCATTTTACGGGCACAAGTACACAATAAATACCCCCATTTGGCTGATTACATTTTGTCAACAGAGGGCGCTGTGCCACATTGACACTGAAATGATTTATACCGTCATGTGCACAATGTTCGGTACTGGTGCAGTTTTCCAATACTGGGAGTTTGGCCTGATTTGTGAAACCCTTATTTTCAAGTTGTTAACTCCATAATAAGTCAAAACTTGCTAGCAGAACACATACTGAAGAAGCATTCTTATTTAATTCAAACACTTTAAACCCTCGGACCATTTGAATCTCAGAGACAAAGCCTGAGACAGAGATAAACCTTGAGATGAAGACAAAGTGAATTATTGGTAAAAACCCTTAGTAACTGCCTACTTACATGCTTTACATTATGGGCATACAGAGTAGTTGTTTCTTGATTGTGCCATTCCCAAGGGTTTCCAAGTGTACCATTGTCTTACGCTCAGATCTGCAAAGACTTGAGGCAACTACATGTACATGCACGGCTACAATGTACGTAGAAGTTATTGAGTAAATTGCAGGTCTGAATTACATATAGATTTTTCTCTATTCTCTGAGACATCAGTGAGTTAAAGACCAGGAAGTAAAAGCATCAACCCAAACCAAAAAACAAAGGAGTTCTCTTTTGCAATGCAAACCCCAGTCACATATTGAAACCTAAAATCCTACCTGTAGGAGAAACAATTTAAGACTTGCTTATTTGCCAGTAAATTGTTCTCCTTGATGACCCATCTATGATGTGGGAATTGCCACTTTTCCAATCCGACCCTGAGGCAAAGTGTAAGTAAGTAATTGTTTGCCTTTCTATGTAGTGTGTGAGGTCAAGATAAAAAGAAAAGAGCCAGTTCGGCATTTCAAAAAGACAAGATCATTTAAGAATTATGCACTGGCTGACACCGAGCCAGTTCAAGTGTGTGCATGCGAATTGGCACTTGGCTGTCCTGCTGGGGCTGATCTTCTGCTCGATTACTGTTCTTCTCGACTGATCCGCATGAACGACATGCTTCCCTTTGAGCGTGCCCTGTCTGAATACTGAATTCGCTATAAACTGGTAGGTGCATTAGGGATTGGACTCACCCTTCTAGAGGCGTGTCTCTTCACGATGTAAGCACAGCCAATGATGGTGGCCGCGATGCACACCACGCAGGCCACAATGTTGGTGACGCAGACCGAATACATCAGCTCCTTGACGGTGGCCGTGATCACCCTGCACCCACCCACCCCCTCGAAGGCAACCATGTCCTCCGGCTGGGCACAGCGGGACTGGTGCGGCTCGCAGCAGTGGCAGGTCAGAGGTCGAATGTCATCGCGGCAGTGGACCAAAGTCTGCAGGTCAGCACCACTCAGGCCTGAAAGCGCTGTGGCAACCAAGTGGAGGACCACGCAGACAGCCGACAAGAATGTAAAGAAACTGAGCTGTAAGGAGAGAAAGGAACCAAAAAAAAAATTGAAATTTGTTTTTCATGCATTTGGAATCCTGTGGCTATTTGACTACCATTTGGACAATTGCACAGGAGAAAACTAACTTAATAAGTATATTTGCTTTGTTGGATTGGAATCCAGGACAGTTTAAATTTACCTGTCATGTAATCTGGATAAACCAATTGACTCTTGTGTAAAGACACTGGTTTCATGGGGACTGGGGATTTATTTGTAATTTGTTGTGCAAATCACTCCTCTGAACAGGTAGTTACAATTATGCAAATTCTGAGGAGTCCCAGATTCCAAGAAGATTCGCTCCTGGCCCATTTCTCTTTTTGGATGGAAGAATCAGTGAGAAGAAAACTAAACTGCTGAGGGCTTTTTGTTTGACCAGAGGAAATCAAGGGAGTGTGTGGGTATCCAACCACAGAATGACCCTTCAGCAACTGGATTCCCAGTTTTCAATTCAAGGCAGATTAAGAGCATTTGTAAAAGTTCATTTAAGCAAGCCCTAGAAATTATGCAAATTTTTGCACCAGAACAGTCACATGTAACGGGAACACATTAATTGTATGTGTAATATCTTGAGGGAAATTCCTGTACATTTCAATAATCTGTTATCAAATAGAATACTTGTGAAATTTCACAACTGAAAACTTGATGTACCTTACATGTACCCGGTACTTTTAACAGCGACTTGTGCATCTAACACTTTGCCTCTTCTTATCTCATTAACTGTTGGCCACTAGCTGGCCAAATGTTACAAATTCAACATTTACATGATTTGACCTGTATCATGCTCCTAAATTCTACGATTATTTACATGTACATGTACAGCAACACACTGGCAACATTTTAATCTTACAGTTGACTAGGGCAAAGCAATTCTATGAACAGCAAATCCTGTCTATCTCTGGATTAACCCTAACACTCCTCAGTCCTCCAACAGGTGAAGGATTGAGGAGGGTTAGGGTTTTAAAGCTGGCAAGTGTCTACAGTGGAATATTTACCTGCCCAAGAATGGCATCCCCCCTGTTGACAGCTCCTCTCCTAACAAATTGTTTCCCTAATTAATGTACAGTAGCTATCCCAAACTCTGCTCTACCCTGCCCAAAACACTTCACTTGCCTGTTAGTCACTGAATGGCCTGTTCAACAGCAAGGCCTACATGTATTTGAAATGGAGAGAGAAGTGAGTGCAGTTTGGGGAACTACCTCTTAAACCCCCTCCACCCAAAATATCCTTTACTCAACCTCTGTATGCTTGAGCTCTCCACAACTATTTAATTTCTTTCAACTTCTCACCAGTTAACAGCCCGACTGCTCTAAAGGAACGCTTCCACCTTTTGGGCAAATGTTCCAGTTCAATTTCGCAGCATATTTGATTTAAACCTCTGCCTGGAAAGTAGTGCGAGGGCAACTGGCTGAATGAAACCATTGCTGTGGCATCTTTTGACCTTTTTTCCCTTGATTTCGGGTGCGTTTCTCCACACCATAAATCAACACAGCCAAAAAAAAAAAACCACCAAAAATGAGACTCGTGGGGGCCATTAGAGTTTTTGCAATTACACGGGTTGATGAGCAGGTAGTGAGAGATCGGCGAATGGTCATCGACACTCCGAGCCATGCTTGGCAGTCAAGTAGGCGACTTGTAATTATACACGGAGATTACATACATCCCGACTGAACATACCGCCTGCATACATACTTTCACCGGCGAGAGAAGTTGGTGTTTCTTTAATTGACTATTTCTACAAACAACAATTAGAACACGGTCACATCTGTCCCCCAAATTTAAGACTTTAATTTGCCCAAATTAGCCTGTCAGCATTCAATGCACATGTGGCCTAGAATTAAAAACCACTGATCGCAGTAATTAGCTCTGATGAAAACCCAATTACAGACAGAGCCAGAGTAATTTCATTTCACACAAATCGTTTCCATTCCAATTGGATGCCGAGTCCTGTGATGGCGTTACTGAAGAAGTGTAATTGGATCATGCTCACGCTCGGCAAGCAGATCTCAAAAACCTTTGGCACATGAATATGTCTAGCGACAACCGCAATTGGGCAGTGTAACTGACACTTTATTGACATGTGGAAATTAGCAGTTAGACAGGGATCCTGTCCTTCGCCATGGCTGGGGAACAACGAATCAGGTGTGCACAAACCTCTGTGACTGATCTTGAGCAGCTGTCAGCCCACTCATACATGAATGCATAATTAAAGTCAAAGTAAACATCTGCAAAATAAATTGTGCTCTTTTGTCTCTGTTTTGAGAATTTTAAACAACCAATCAGAGATCCAACAAAGATCAAATCAAAAGTCAGGTGGTAAAGTCAGTGCATGAGTAACAGGAGGATGTAATAATGCCCCCCCAAAAGACTGACAGGAACGGCAAGGAGCGAGTCAACAAGTCGGTTCACAAGCAAGAGGAGAATAACAATGCCAAAGTACTGAAATGGATGCCACAGTTACAGCTAATATGAATGGCTTGTAACTCTCCAGAAGAGTGGAAAGGGTGGGTGCAGAACCAACTTTGTTTGGGGGGGCACACATCTGTTTGGAGGGGGGTGGAGGACTCAAAGAATTGGGGAACATCTTTATGTGAGCTTTTATGGCCATGAGGCATTAGGCTACATTTAGAGGATTTTTTTTTTACCCAGATTGGGGTATAATCATGGGCAATTCTGTGTTTTTTTTTGACAAGTAATGAAACTAACTTCCCTAACCTCCTCTCCGAATCCTCTTCCTTACATGTACATTCTGTTTTACATGACTGCCTTGTGGCCAGCCTGATCACAGGTTAGTTGAGGCCGACAGGGGGCGCCATTACAAGCCCATCCATCAAGCAAATTGTGATTTATGACCAGCTGGAATGGGGGGCCCTTCTGTTTCCTTATTTAACTCACCCTGAGGGCGGCTCGAGTAACACTGCCTCGTACATCAAATAGATGGATAATGACAGGTGGATAATTTATAACCTGGGCCGGAGAAAAAAATTCTCCCCACCCAACAAAAGAAGGCAAATTGTTTATTATGGACTCCAACAGAAGTCATGGTTTCATGTGGGATGGATGGACTGCCAGAAGGACAAACACTCATGTGCCACTTAAGCTCATGAATGACCATGATTAACTTCTAAAAGTTGGGGTACTGGTATGGCAATTTTTCTGTTTTTCTGCTGACAGCATGCGCAGGCTCAAGAATTGGTGATAAATTGACTTGGATTTGAGGAATTCAGCTGTATAACACGGGGAGAATTATCTGTGAATTAGGACCTTTCTGAATCGTACATGTACATGATACACACGACTGCCTTCCAACAAAAGGCAGCAACCCCCAGCAAAAATTTTAAAAAGGCTACATTTCATGACTGAATCAACCGCTCCTTGTTTCTTGATGACGAAATATGTCTGGGCTTACCGGTATCGTACAAATGCTTGCTAGTGATACAAACCAAAATTCTGTTACTTCACTTGAAGTTTCTCTAAATTATGTTCAGTAATGTAATTCCAAGTAAATGTTTCAATAACATGTTGCTAATGCAATGCTTTTATTGCCCCCTACCCCAACAAATCTACAGTTCATTTCCTCTCCCGTGGTCTTAACCAAATATGGCCGAATATTATTGGCTGCAACTTTATCTCCTGGCTGATGCTTGGCAGCCAGGACGGTGTACGTCAAATCAAACAAGGATTTGTGTGCAAAATTCCTCTCTGCCAAACTTAGCACCAATTCCCGAACGTTGTGAATTCATAAAGCGCATGTCTGTGTATGTACCGGTACTGTATAGCTGCAAAAGTAATCAAAGCCAATCAGTCTTTTTGCGACAATATGCATCCATGCGCACAGATTAATCTTTTGTTTTTTCCCCCCGCACGCCTGTCATCATGAAGCAACGCCGTCTCCTTCTCATGTCCCGAGTTCTTCGATTTCGAGTCCGGGTGATGAATCTTGACTCAATTTTTTAATCTGCCAATAACGGTTCCGGCAATCTTGAAAAATAAAACTTAAACCAAAAAAAAAAAAAAGAAAAGAAAAAGGAAGCCAAGGTGATGTACATGTAATCCAAGCCATTATGGGTCGCGATAGCAGCAGAAAACCTGACGCTTCGTCCCCCCTTAAGCATGCATTCCCAATATCACCGGCCCAGCCTTTCTGGCCGAGGAAACCACTTGTGAAATCTTGCCTCCTGACCGCCACGCTCTAAAACTTAAAAGAAAAGAGAAGACTAATCTTCTGGACCATCTGAAATGGAAATAATCCCGTTAGCATTCCCTGTCATTCTACCTACTTCTTCTTAGGGTCGCTGAGGCCATCCGCGGGCCAAGTGGCCGGGGTTTTGTCGGGGAACAAAATGCTTTTACAGGTTTTACAGTAATTCTGCCTGATATGCCAAGGAATGCACATTGCCAATGCAGTGACCCAGGTATTAATAACTAAGCCTACAACATGACGAATGTTTCAGGGGCAATGCACGAATGATTAGTCACAACTCTTGAATTTTTTTGGGGGGGCCCCAACGTATGCATGTGCTTCACTTGGGGTGTAACAGTGTACAAGTACCGTACATGTACATGTTTATGTATCGGTACATGTAAAATATCTTTATACCTTAAGCTGGGGAAGAAATACTGGTACAATATACATGTACATGTATATGTATCGGGTTCAGATATCATCTCTCTTGTGGTCTTAATTGTGCAGTGTGCATCCATTTTTCTGCAACTTTAAAAAATCGGCGATGTATAATAGCTACAGTATTGTAATAAAGAAGGGGGCATGGGCAGTGTATGGAGAGTCCAGATTGTACATGTACATGCATCTGTGGCCTACTCACATATAGGTACGTAAAGCTATCAAGGAAGCACAGGGATGTGCATACCAGTTAATGGGTGGTAGATCAAGCCATGGAACTACATTTAATTTTAACGGAATGTGCACAATAATGACGGGAATGACATGGACATGACAGTGAAAATGCCTAATCTAC